AAAACTCAGAAGTGCGCTCGAGCTAAGAATGCTCGCCTCGAAGCCAACAACTCAAACCTCAGGTCTGTAACCAGCAAAGCACGCTCGAGCGACAGACCTCTCGCTCGAGCGAAGAACAAACCAGACCGCTCGAGCCAAGAAAAGCTCGCTCGAGCCAAGAAACACAACTCTCAGGTCCAGAACCAGACGCCATCACTCGCTCGAGCGAAGCCACTCTGGCTCGACCCACCAGACACAAACTCAACTATCGCTCGAGCGACCAACTCCTCGCTCGAGCGAAGGTCTAAAAATCTGGGCAGCAACACTAGGCTCCCAAATACAACCAACCTGAAACAAACCTGCCCAACACATCCTATAACTCAATATACAAAGTAAAGAGGATGCAAACAAGGTGATAAACAACTACCAACATCCACGGACACATGTCCGGATCACTGTACAACAAGGGTAAAAACCCGGGATCGCTATATGCACACACATAGAGAGAGAGAGAGAGAGAGAGGAGAAGGGACTGTTTGTTTGGAGCTATTTAAAAAGAAAGTAAGGGTGATTTATTTAGTTGATCTTCCTACAACAAAAAAATTAAACTGACACTCAAAAAAAATTATTTAACATTTTATTTGCTTGTAATATATTTATTTAGTTGTATCATTCAAATGTAATATTTATTTGCTGTGTGATTCTAATGCACAGATGATAACTATTTTTCATTTAATTTTTTTGTGAATATCTAGAGTTCCTAATTAAAAGAAAAATTTGAAAGACTTGACATTTTAACATTTATGTGTACTATGGCAAGAGAGTTTATTTATTTATTTTTTTTGGCACCTTTTTAAGGGAATATAATATTCTATGTTGTATTTCAAAAATTCTGGTCAATGTATATGTGTACGTATTACTTTAGTTGTCTTCATGAAAAAAAAATGTAATAAACTTACAAGTATTTAACTTAACGCAAGTATTTAACACAATCTGTTTTGTTTTGAATCAAATTCACTGAGTATTTAACTTAACCCAAAAAAATGTATTTAACATTTTGTTATAAAAAAAAATTTTAAAAAAAAATTGTACCATTCTAAACAGAGAAGGCACGTGCCTTTGGTATCTATTGAATTATTTTTTTTGGCATAAATTTGTGATTATGATTATAACGAGTTTTGATTTTGGTTTTAATTTCATCTTTATAAAATTGAAGTCAGTTAAAAAGAGAAGAGTTCAAATTTGGACAATTGTTGTACTCCGATTTTAATTTTATCATTTTAATGTGATTGTTAAAATACATCTATTCTAAACATTGGGTTGGCCTTTTTCTTTTTCTTAGAAGTTTATATTTTTATTTATTTCTTCTCCTCTTGATTGTAACTCATTAAGTATTTTCTATTCATGGCAGTTATTCATTTAAATAAAATTTTGAATTTTATTATTCGATTTGGTAGCAACAGATTTGGAAATAACATTTCATTGCCAATGAAATCCATGTTAACTTTTATTATTACTAATTTTTTTGTTTCTTTGTGTCTAAACTTATATAACCAAACATTTTTAGGTTGAGGTACAACATTTATGAACAATATCACTATTTTTGGTCAAGTAAGTTTTTTTTTTTTTTTGTCTTTTTTCTCTTCATATAAATTTAAGTACCTCTCTTATAAATTTAAGTACAACAGTTATGGACAATATCAGTATTCTAATTATTTTTTTTCCTCATATTTTATAGGTGGATGGGGACTTACACCGAACCGTAATATCACCTCCCTTTACTATTTTTCTTATCTATGTGTATAAAGTTTTATTTATCACTCTAAAGTTTTTGTATGCATAGGTTCGATTTCTTCATGAAAGAAATGTTAATGTTGTTATTCGCGATGAGCGTGACCTTAATACTATTCGCATTCACGAGGTAAGCCTAAAAGTTACTTGAACATTGGACATGTATTTTCTTATCATTTTAAAAATAATTTATAAATATATTTTACTTATTTTTTATAGGTAAAGACAAAGGAAAAAGACAAAGCAATATCAAAGGAAACAAAAAAAGCTATTCCTTAGGGCAAAGGAAAGGAAAATGCACATCCTATGGTATGGTTTCTCAACAATTTTTAAAAGTTTCTTTTTCGAATGTTAGATAGATTTTTTTAGGAATTGCATAATGTCATATACTCTTTTTTATGTACATTTTTCAAAAGTTTCTTTTTCAAAAATTTATTCAATTCTTTTTATTGAATGTGAAATGTTTTTCTAAAGCATGTTAAAGTAAGCATTTGTGCAACATTCTAATGCATTTGTATAAACATTAATTTGAATTTTTAATATGTTTGTCAATTTGTATGATAAAAATATGTTGCATTCGTACAATATGTTGCATCTACTACATAGCATAATAAAAATATAATAGAAGAAAACGAAAAAGGGAAATAAGAAGAAAGAACAAATATGTGATGAAAAGGAAACTACATAATATAATTTTTTTTAATTTTTATTTTTCTTATAAGAAGTTCTTAAGGAAAGAAGAAAAAGACAAAAATGCATTTTAATATAACAGAAACAACAAGAAGAGTGAAAAGAAAAGTACAAGACATTACACGTTAATATTCACATTTTACGTACCCAATGATCTAATATTTACCTTTTCAACGTACATTTTGTAAAGAGATGGGTAGTGTCTTTAAACCAATAAGTGCGTGCATAGTGAGTTTGCAGTTTTGTGTACTTAATGTGTTTTCAAATTATTTTTCCCTCCCTTTTTAAATTTCATCAATACATGCATTGATTCTTATATGACTAACAACTTAACCGAGTGAAGATGAAAAGTTAGTTAAAAGGAAGAAAAAAATATATGATGAAAGGAAAACAAGTTAGTTAATCTTCACATTTTATGCACCTTCTTATATAATATTCTCATTTTAGGCACACAATGATAATGTGCTATCAAAAGCTGCATTGGCCCAACGTGCACCGCGAGAACGTGAAAAAAATCAAAAGCCATGTTCTGCATACCAATTGGGACAATGCCTGCGACAAGAATGAGAAAGAGAAAGATCGAAGGAATGTATTAACCCAAGACAACCTTCTTTAACACCAAATTGGTAAAAGAAAAAGAATTTTTTACCCAAGACAATCTTGAATTTTTTTCTCTTACTAATACCACTTTATTATATAGATTTTAATTTGTTCACAATCTATTTCTGTAGGCCTCCTCCTACAACTCCATCTAGAAATATTGATGTGGTCATCCGTGATGAGCACGACCTTAGTGTTATCCGTGTTCGTGCGGTAAGTACAAAATCAAGTCAAACATTGTATGTATTTTATTTATATAAGATTATATAAATTTTTTTTAATCTTTTGAATATTTTATTTATATTTGTTAGGCAAAAGAAAAAGAAAAGGTCAACCCAATGTCTAAAGGAAAAGAAAAGATGGCTCCTTCCGGCAAGAGAATGACAAATGCATGTTAAGTGGTGCATATTATTTTTTAAAAATATGATTCAAAACTAATCAAAATTTTGAATAATTAAAAGATATGAGTGTATAAAATGAATTTATTGTTTTATGTTGTTTTTGTAGAATGATTGTAATATGTTTTCCTGTAACTTGCTATTATTTGTATGTGTTTTTCATATTTATTTATTTTTATTTTGCATGGATACATTTGCATTTATAATGTACCATTCATAAGTTGCTACTTATATAAAGAGAATAGGAAAAAAGAAACGAAGGAATAAAGAAAAAATATATAAAGAAAGGAGAAACTAAGGCCTCGTTTGGGAACCTTCTTTTTTAGCCAAAAACTCAAAAAGTTACTAAATTAGCCAAAAAGCCAACAATCCATACCAAAAAGTCAAAGATTCTCTTTTTTCTCTACTTTTTACACATCTTTTCGTAAAAAGCCAAAAAATCATCCCAAACATACTAGTTTTTTTTAGCTCATATTTTAGCCAAATAGCTAAAAAGTTACTAAATTAACCTGTTCCCAAACGAGGCCTAAATAAGATAAGTTTTTAATTCTTATTTAATATATAAAATAGAAAACAAAGAAAGGGAAAGGGAAGAAATAAGAAGATAGAAAGGGAAGAAATAAGAAAGAAGAAATAAAGATAACACTATTAAATGTATAAAACAAATAAAATAGAAAACAAAATTAAGAAAAAGGGAAGAAATAAGAACATAGTTTCATTTTAAGCACAAAATATTCACATATTTTGCTTCAATGATAAAATATTTCATTTTAGGCATAAAATGATAATGTAATATCAAAAGCTGCATTGGCCCAACAGGCATAGCGAGAGCGTGAAAAAAATTGAAAAGTCATACTTTAAATTTCAATGCTTGCAACGAGAACAAGAGGGATTAGAAGAATGTGTTCAACTAAGACAACGTTCTTTAACACCAATTCGTCGCAATCGCACTTGCTTGGAGTGGGAAACAATAACTGAAGATTCTCATTCGGCACAAAAACGAACAATGGTTACCCATCATTCTACATGTTTGTTTTCTATGCCAAGCACATCTTTAGCTCCACCAAGGAATCGGTAAACTATTGTGTCTAATCTTGAAATACATACTTTTATTCATACCGTTTTGTTTTACAGAATTTTATTGATACACAAATATTCGTAGATTTACTCCTATAAATCGATTTGTTTAACAAGATCTATGTACTGATGATAAATTAGAAGATCTGCCTACGAGTATATCAATTGACGCCCGAGCACACAAAGATTCTTGCCACCATTATCTTGGCAAGATGGATGTATTATGTCCTTATTGTTCAGCCTTACATTGGATGGATAAAAAATTGACAAAATCATTTATAAAGCGTCCCTTATTCGGAACTTGCTGTTTGGAATGAAAGATTAGGCTACTTTTACTTATTACACGCCCTTCACCACTTCAGGCATTGTATGATGGGAATAATGATCAATCAAAATCCTTTCGAAGTTATACTCGAGTGTACAATGCAGCCAATGCTTTTACGAGTCTTGGTGGTACATTGGATCCTAGAGTACTCAGTGGAAGGGGCCCTACATCATTCACAATTCATGCGGAATTGCGACATCGAACAGGATCACTACAATCACAACCAGGGCAGGATGCGAGTTATGCTCAATTGTATATCTATGACCCTTATTCAGATTTAGAAATTCGTAATCGTAGAAATCCTAACTTGAGAAGGGATGTTCTCAAAACTATTCAGGATAGTTTGTTGCAAGTCAATGCATTTGTAGATAAATATCGCCAGGCTCATGCCATTTTACATCAATTAGACTCGGCAGGACACAATCTACCTGCTCATCTTCATTACAGTTCAACAACTGATCGACGTCGGTATAACCTACCAACTACAGATGAGATTGCAATTGTAATACCAGGTGATGGAACAGAGGTAAATGGAATGAGAGATATTATTTTACATTTCCGAGGAAATAATGAGTTGATGTAAATTAATGAATGTCACCCAGCATACTTGCCATTACATTATGTTCTATTATTTCCATATGGAGAGCTTGGATGGGAACCTGAGTTGAAATTGTGGAATGTTCAGTATGATCGACCTTCAATTGATCGACTTACTCAAATGAATTTTTATAGTTATCATTTGTTTGAATGACCCACAGAGTATTCAACAATTTTGAGAGATGGGAAACCATTTCAAGAGTTTTTGGTAGATGCTTGGGCTACAACTGAGCAAAATCGATTGAAATACTACAAGCTTAATCAAGGAAAACTTCGGGTTGAGCTTTACCAAGAGTTGTCAGATATGGATCCAGATTATGTGCGAACTGGACAAATTGGTCAAATGTTTGTTTTGCCATCTTCATTTACTAGTAGTTCTAGACATATGTTTGAAATCTTTCAAGTTCAATGGCTTCACACGATACAACCAACACCCAGATATTTTTCTTACCATGACTGCAAATCCCAATTGGCCAGAAATTACTTCAGCATTATCACCATATCAAAAACCTATTGATCATCCTGATTTAATTGCTTGTGTTTTTAAGTTGAAGAGAAAATGTTTGATGAATGAGATAGAAACAAATAAAGTGTTTGGAAATAAAGTTGCACATGTTTTTACAATTGAATTTCAAAAACGAGGACTCACTCATATGCATGCACTTTTATTTCTCAAGGGTCCAGACAAAATTTGGACATGTGCTCAAGTAGACAAATTGGTCTGTGCAGAATTTCCAGACCCAAAAGATGATCCTATGCTTTTTGAAACTATCAAATGTTGTATGGTACATGGACCATGTGGTGCTCGAAATCCGCAAGCACCATGTATGGAAAATGGTAGATGTACTAAGAGATACCTCCAAGCTTTCACAGAAACAACAACTATGGATCAAGATGGATACCCTACCTATCGTCGTCGCAATAATGGTCAAGTACATACTGTGAGGGGACAAGAAGTTGATAACAGGGATGTCGTACCATACAACGTATATCTTTCAAAACTTTTCAACTGTCATATAAATGTGGAAGTTTGTGCCGGAATGAGATGTGTCAAGTGTATACATAAGTACATTTATAAGGGTTATGATCGTACAACGATAGTATTAGGAATGATAAATGAGATTCAACAATATCTCGATGCAAGGTATATTGGACCTCCAGAAGCTGCTTGGCAAATATTTGGTCATCCTTTGCATGCAGAGATGCCAACAGTTGTACAATTGTCACTTCATTTACCTGGAATGCATCGCGTTGTTTTTAACCCAGAAGAGTCATTACAAACGATTCAATCTAGAGCTGGTCAACAAATGTCAACTCTTTCTGGCTTCTTTGCATATTGTGCTGCCAGTGAAGATGAATGTCCATTTACTTATCAAGAATTTCCATAACATTTTGTTTGGCTCAAGTCAGAAAAGATATGGAAATCAAGAGAAATGGGATATGCAATTGCTAGATTGTACTTTGCTAGCCCTAATTGTGGTGAAAGATTTTATCTACGTTTGTTACTAACCGTTGTCAAATGACCAAAGTCGTTTCAGTCTTTACGCACGGTCGATAATGTTGTGCATGACACATTTAAATTAGCATGTGTTGCAAGGGGGATTTTAGAAGATGATGAAGAATGGATACAATGCTTGAAAGAGGCTACAGTTATAAAAACTGGATATCAATTGAGGAGATTGTTTAGTATTATTCTCACCCAGTGCTCTCCACTAAATCCATGTGCATTATGGAATCAATTTTCAATGCATATATGTGATGATCTTGCACATAAAATTTGTACATTGTTTGTCATTTCTAAACCAACTAAGGCTCAAATTGAAGATTATGGTCTCCATCTTTTGAATCAAATACTTCATGAATTAGGCAAAAGTTTAATTGACTTCCCGCCCATGCCACTACCTACTGCAAATTGGAGTGCAGTAATTGGTAATCGATTGATATTTGAACATCAACAACTGTAGAGTGAGGCACAACATGTAGGTCCACAAATTACTATTGATTATCTCAATAATGGACAGCGGAATGCTTATAATACAATCACTTCTTTAGTTTTTCAAAATAAAGAAACTGTTTTCTTTCTGAATGAGGGTGCTGGAACAGGGAAAACATTTATGTATAATACGATTGCATTAAAATGTCGCAGCCTTGGGCATATCGTTGTTACTGTGGCTTCGTCTGGAATTGCATCATTGTTACTGGTAGGAGGTCGCACTGCACATTCAACATTTTCCATTCTGTTAGATGTCTTGGAAAATTCACTTTGTGGGTTTAGCAAACAATCATTACAAGCTGAGTTATTTAGAGAAACAAAACTCATAATTTGGGATGAAGTTCCTATGTAACATAAACATTGTGTTGAGGCGGTTGATCGTACATTGAGGGATATTTGTGATAGTGAAAAGCCATTTAGGGGTATTATTGTTGTTCTTGGTGTAGACTTTCGACATATCTTACCAGTTATACCCAAAGGAGTTCGTGAGCAAATTGTGAATGCATCATTAAGACACTCTGTTCTATGGAAGCATATATATCTTGACTTTGGATTTGACTATGCGCTTGAATCATGAAGGCAATGAAAATGCTAATTTTGCAAATTTCTTGATGGAGGTAACACTACTTTAACCAGTATTATATAGATTATTTTAAATTAATAAATTGTGTTTACACTTACTTTTTTATTGATTTCACTTTTTTTTAGATTGGGACCAATCCTCAAGAAATCGTTAACCTTCCATCAACAATACACAAATGTCAAGATTTGAATGAATTACTCTCTACAGTTTATCCACAATTGAATATGATAGAGACGTCAACCCCAACATTTTTAACTGAACGCACAATTCTGTCTGCGCGTAACGATGATGTCAGTGACATTAATACTACTGCGTTGAATATCTTTCCAGGGAGATTATATACTTATCTTGCCGCAGATAAAATGTCTGAAGATAATGAAATTGATCCTACCATTACAAATAGATATCCTAATGAATATTTAAATTCATTGGATCCTCCTGGGTTGCCAACTTTTAAGTTAGAGTTGAAAGTGGGTTGTCCTATAATATTGTTGAGAAACATTGCACCGAAAGATGGACTATGTAATGGTACAAGATTGATGGTTACTAGGTGCGGCACTCGCATAATTGAAGCTCAAATTTTAACTGTAGAAAAGTTTGGCAATTTGGCATTTATACCAACGATATCTTTGGCACCATCTTCTTCAGAAATGCCTTTCCAAATGACAAGACGTCAATTTCCAGTCCGATTGGCATATGCCTTGACCATTAATAAATCTCAAGGACAATCTGTGAAATTTGTTGGGGTTGATTTGCGTATACCAATGTTTAGCCGTGGGCAATTATATGTAGCATTGTCCAGATGTACATCCTTTGATCGTATAAGTATTCTCTCCCATAAAGATAGTTTGGATTCTGCTACAAATATTGTTTATCCTGAAGTGTTGCTGTAGTATTCTATGCAGATTAAATGACGTTTTGTTAGAAGGTAACCATGTAGATTTATTTCTGTTGATTATATAACTTTTTATAAAATTTCAATTTATTAATAATTTGATATTTGGACTTTTGTAGGATTGGACCGAAAAATCTATGGAGCTTAAAAAGAGAAATACGACTAGCTTGCTTCGACGATGATGTAATAAGATAATTTCAATCTCAAAGTATTTTGACATGTATATTTCCAACAAATGTACTAATCTATATTTTTTTTGTTTCCACAAATTACTAGATTGTTGTGTATATTCCTCATTGAGGATACATACAAGTTGATACAAAGACTTTTTAGAAAGCAATGAGGAGGAAGTTTGGGCAAACACATATTTGAAGACACGTTATTGACACATCTTTTGTAAAGCATACATATTTTTGGTGTATGAAAATATAATTTTTGGTGTATGACATGTTATTGACACATCTTTTGTAAAGCTTTAACCCACTTTTTATAAAGTTTTAACCTACTATTTTGTTGTATGACAATATAACTTTAATTTTTGTTTTTTGTTTAGTGTTTAAACTTTTTTTTACTGCCTTTTATATTTTGATATGCAATATAACTTTAAATCTTATATGTTTGTTTCTTAATTTGCATTAAGATTAGGGAGAGTTGTTATTTTATTTGAGTTTTGTTGAGTATGTAATACAAGTAAAATTGTTATAAGTTCTTTAAGAAGAAAAATATTTCAATATATTTTTTCAGTATCTTTATCAAAAAATGATACAAACTTTATAAATTTCAACATAATACGTATAAATTATAATTGCATTTTAATCTTAAAATTATTTACATCGCGCCTTTAGGCACGGGCATACGCTAGTATATATATATATAAGAGATGTAATTTAAAAAAGTTTTAAAAAAATTGTTTTTAATCATGTTTCCAAACAAGATGGTCTTTTGGCCATAATGGCCTAATTAATTGTTCAGTCCAAATCACTCACTCCGGCCCTGAAGCCTAAATCTTTTATAACATAGAACCAATTTGTTTTTAGAGATAGAATGGAAGTGATTTTAGTGAGGTAATTAATAGTGAGAGGATTGTTAGTGGGGAGATTGATAGTGAGAAGATTAAGGTGGGCAATATAACTTTAAATCTTATATGTTTGTTTCTTAATTTGCATTAAGATTAGGGAGAGTTGTTATTTTATTTGAGTTTTGTTGAGTATGTAATACAAGTAAAATTGTTATAAGTTCTTTAAGAAGAAAAATATTTCAATATATTTTTTCAGTATCTTTATCAAAAAATGATACAAACTTTATAAATTTCAACATAATACGTATAAATTATAACTGCATTTTAATCTTAAAATTATTTACATTTTAATCTTAAAAAGTTTTAAAAAAATTGTTTTTAATCATGTTTCCAAACAAGATGGTCTTTTGGCTATAATGGCCTAATTAATTGTTCAATCCAAATCACTCACTCCGGGCCCTGAAGCCTAAATCTTTTATAACATAGAACCAATTTGTTTTTAGAGATAGAATGGAAGTGATTTTAGTGAGGTAATTAATAGTGAGAGGATTGTTAGTGGGGAGATTGATAGTGAGAGGATTAAGTAAAATTGTGTTTGTTTTCATGATAATTGTTGGTGTAAGAATTGTTAAATTATTTTTATATAAAATAAATATAAAATAATAAAACAAATAAAAAAATATTAAACATTAATGTTAAAAAAAATGCCCAAGATGTAAAAAATAAATAAAAAAAAATTCAGAAAAAAATAAAACAAATAAAACAATGATTTTTACTTAACAACAAATATAAAAAATTAAACATTAATGTTAAAAAAAAAAAATTGTGTTTGTTTTCATGATAATTGTTGGTGTAAGAATTGTTAAATTATTTTTATATAAAATAAATATAAAATAATAAAACAAATAAAAAAATATTAAACATTAATGTTAAAAAAAATGCCCAAGATGTAAAAAATAAATAAAAAAAAATCAGAAAAAAATAAAACAAATAAAACAATGATTTTTACTTAACAACAAATATAAAAAATTAAACATTAATGTTAAAAAAAAAAAGTCCAACATGTAAAAAATAAAATAAAATAAAAATTACGAATCTTAATCCCCTTCCCAAGGGGATTCATGAAAATTACAAATCCTAAAAATTACGAGCCTATTTAGTGAGTTTTTTAAAGATTTTTTTTTACAAATATTATTTTTAGGTATATCTAAAAATTAAAAAAATTGTTTAGAATATTTAAAAAAATTCAGTGAAAACAAAAATTACGAAAAATAAAAATTACAATTTTTTAAAAAGTGAATCTTGAAAGTTTAAACCAAACAAGTTGAATGACTTTTCTTGTTCAACTTGAAAAAAAATGTGTTTAACCTGAAAAATTATTATAAAAGTTGACATTTTTTGGGTACTTTTGTAGGTGTGGTGAGGTAAAGATCAAGATTTGGTTTGAGTTGATGAAAAGTGATTTTTTTAGTTGTAATTTAACTTTACACAAGTTAGTATTCTATAATCTTGATTAGATATGTGAGATGAGAAGACGACCTAAATTATATATTAATGTAATTGATCATATAGCAATTGATAGACCGAATTGGTGGAAAAAGATTTAGATAATTCACTTGATTGAGTGACAAGATTGGTGATGTAGGCCGAAAAGTACCATATTGAGGCCGCTGAAGTTACATTTTTAGTATTTCAATATTGTTTATTTAGTGGAGATGATATGTTTTGTGCACTTATACAGATTTGGCAGGTAACATACAAATTCAATCAAAAAGTGCGTGAAAGCAGATTCTTCGAGCGAGAAACGAAAAATCCGAGCCAACTAGACCACCGCACGTGCGGCCCACCACCGCTCGAGCGGCCCACCTAGGGACGCGTGCGCATAATTTTTGGGTCCGT